CTGAAGCATCTCTTCATCTTCAAGAAGGTTGGAATGATCTTCGTTTCACGGCATCGTAGCAAGAAAGCCAGTGAACGCAGGAGCTGCGCCTTCTTCTTACGTCTTGATGTATCCTCCCCGTAGAGGCATTTTATCAGACTCTGAAGGCTTTAACGGCCGGTTAAATCACATTTAGGAATGTTTTCCGGGCTTTGAAGCCGTGGTCTATGGGAATTTCTTCCTGACGTTTCGTCCACAACAGCGGTGGACATTATCAAAGGCCTCATCGCTTTTGAGCACGATGCACGCAAAATCTTTTGTTAACGGACTTTTAAAAAATTTGTATAAATTGAGATTTTTTCAATATAATCCGGGTTAAACATGGAAAAAATAGTTGCAATTTATTTTATTTATTCGACAATCACTCTTCACTTTCAAGTGACGTTTTTCAATAAAAAATAAATAACCTTAACGACGTTTCGAGAACACGATTTTTATGTTCAAGTTTCAGCTTCAAGGGCCAGAGTCACCATAAAATTAGTCCGATATCAATGGGTGAATTTTCAACAAAATCTTTCTACATTCGGCGACTAAAACCGTTTATTTTTTGTCAAAAAATTCACATGATTTTCAACAAAAATCGTCTGAAAAAGCCAAAGTTTTCCCGAAAATTCCAGTCCACTATCTAAAAAGTTTTAGGAAAGATTAACTATTTTGAACAAAATTCAGGAAAACTGAAAGTGATACTTTTGCCAAGAGTTTTTATTTTTGCTTCCAAAAATTCACATTTTTCGCGTAGCGCATTTTCAAGTGGTTTAAAGAGGACAAAAACTGATATTCGAACTCCAATTACTTAAGGAAACTAAAAATGTCAGAAAACCACAATCGACGCAAATCGCTTACTTCACATCATCATTCCAGGTAGATTCTGATTTCATTTTCGGAATTTTAACTAAAATTCACCATCAAATGCGCTCCATATCGATAATGGTTTTCCTCCAAAAAAGTCTATTCTAAGCTTAAAAAAATGTTTTCTTTTGCAAAAATTATGCGTCGACATTCAAAACGCGAAATTTCAAATCAGAACTGTACATTTTTAATCAATTTTTTAACCAACACAAGAAAGTGAAAGAATATTGGCTCCACAAGGGTCTGGAACAGAAACGCTTTGAATGAAAAAATTATCGTGTCGCATTGATTTTTGAGATTTGCTTTCCAAAATGCACATTTTCTGAAGTTGATGTGATCTAAATCAAACTTGAAAGTTGGAAATTAAAGAAATAAAGGCCAGAGAGGACGGCGTTTAGAGGACAATTTGCAAGTTCATCGCTTCAAAGGCTTAAAAAAGTGTATTTCAGACTGAAAAAATGTTTTTACTGCAAAACCTTTCGACATGGACTGATTTTCAGCCCAAATCTAAAAGTGTCCCAGAAAGCCAAATATGGAAACACAACTGAAAAGTTTGAAAGAGTTTTCAAGAAAAGTGAAAATTTTAACTCAAAAAATGCCCGAAACGAAACAGTTTTGAATTAAAAAACTGAAACTAAAACTGTCGCAATCATTTTCGATTTTAAAATTACATGTTTTTAGAGCAAGGGACTTGCTTGATCCTAGTTGAGCATAAAGAAATAAATGCCAGAAAACCAGGTTTGGAGAACAATTTGCAAGTGAATCGCTTCAAAATCATCTCAGGCGAATTTTGATTCCAGTTTCGGCTTTTTGAGCCAAATTTTGTATAAAATCAGCCTCATGTCGATTAGTGGTTTTCCAAAAAAATCACTAGTTTGGGCCCGAAAAAGTGTTGTTTTTCGTATGAAATACTCCACTCGACAAAATACTCGTTTTTCACTAAAGTCGTCTCAAGAGGCCAAATGTTGCATGAGAATTACGAGTGATTAAATGCTTTTTGAGAAAAGTGACAATTTTGACCAAAAAATTACCTCAAATTCCATACTGGGGAGAATAAAAGCCTTTTTATTGAAAATCGAACAGAAGAAAACCAAAAGTGTTACACTTGCAATAAGAAATAAAGAAATAAAAATATGAAATTTTCAGTTTAAACGCGG